AGACAAATATAATAAAGTAACATATTTCTTTTGTTCTAAGTAGTTTGTGGAAAACAGATCCATTCCAGTTCAAAAATAGTCTAAAAATGGTCCTGGTTACGGTAGAAAATTTGTTACTTAATGAATTACTTGCCTCAGGCATTTGATTGATATTTCTTTCTTTATTGGCAACATTTAATACTATCAGTAATGTAATTGCCTGACCAGTGGGCCAGATTGGAGACAGAGTGGTTCTTATCCTATCTAAGTGATCAGTATTAGAATTTTATGTTCAATTTCTTTTCACATGTAGATAGTCCTGGCAATTGGGACCAGAATTTCCTCCACTAAGCAATATGATTGGAAAGGACAATGGCACATGGCTGTATTGCTTAGTGTTTGCAATTCTGAAGTCCTAGTTGCTGAACTCTTATTGGTTCACTTAAGCCCAAGTTAGACAAAGAAATGGGTTCATTTTGGTATCATAAATTCCATATCAAGTTAGAGAATACAAGTCCTATTTTTTGATCTATGACCTGAGATCTATATTCTTGTGACTGTCATGAATGTTAATGAAAATATGTTTTAAATTCTATGAAAGTACAGATATAAAGAATTCTTTAAACCCTTGAGTTGCGTGATCAGTAAAAGTCTAGTTTGAGGAGGATACGTGAGGCCTAGGGGTATTTTAAAGGGGTTTTAAATTAAATTTTTAGTAGAAGCGGCCAAATTTAAATATTTATTTTTAATCTTTTTAAATTTTGTATTGTATTACTGTTTTAAACTGGCTGTAAGCCGCCCTGAGTCCTCCGGGAGAAGGGCGGGGTATAAATTTAATAAAATCAAAATCAAATCAAAATCAATGTTGGATGGCCTTTGAATTGTTCAGAAGTTGTAACTAGTACAGTATTGCACACAAGAACAACACTGTAAAATAAATGACTAACAGCAGTTTGATTCCTATAGTAAAAATTTGGTAATAAGTATTGGTTTAATGTTTGAAGCCTTTTAACTAAGGCTGCCATATCTAAGGTACAAAAATCTGGATAACCTCTAAATCAGTGGTTCTCAACCTTTTTAATGCCGTGACCCCCAACCGGTCGTAAGTCGAGGACTAAACCGGTCATAAGTCAAGGACTAAACCAGTCGTAAGTCAAGGACTACCCAACCGGTCGTAAGTCGAGGACTTTCCCTGCCCGGGAGCGCCGTGCATGTGTGGTTCCGCCCCCTGCGCCGGCTGAGGCGTAGCTGGCAAGCAGCAGAGACGGAGCAGGCCGACCACCAGCTGGCCCAGCTCAAGGGAGGTAAGGCACCCGCCAGAAAAGGGGGAAAAAATGGCGGACAGCCTTGCTTGGCGACCCCGTGAAATGGTCGATCGACCCCAAATGGGGTTGCGACCCATAGGTTGAGAACTGCTGCTCTAAATGGCAGTAAAGAGCTTCACTGCAGTAATAATACAGATTTGTGCAGTTCAGATGTGATAGTTCTATCTAAACAACCTTTCAGTTTAAATCTGCCTTCCATTGAACCTGTAATTTACTCCTGTGGTAAAGACATTTTGTTATTCCTTATGCTTTCTGCTAGAGTTGTCTTTTATCTGACTATACACATATTATATACAGTACTGCTTCATGAAGATGTAGTTCAGATAAGCAACTGAAAATATGTTTTGAGAAATCCTACAATATTATTTGACTGTGCTGTTGAATTATTATTGGTTATTTTTAGTAATATGGTACAGGCAAAGTATTGAATATGCTGCTTTTCTATGCAGAAACTTTCAGGTGCTGACAGTTTTAAATTTTGGATGTATATAGTGGACTGTGAATATTAGGAGTGGTGGTAGTTGTGATTAATTCTGTGGTGACTAATTACTCTACAGGAATGGGATGGGGGAGGAGACAGGAGTAAGTCTTGAGACTGTTATATGGGAGGAGTTTGACTCTGTGGCTCCTGAGGATGTGGACAGGATTCTCGGGCGGCTGAATGCAACCACATGTTTACTGGATCCGTGCCCCTCCTGGCTGGTACTGGCTGCCCGGGAGGGTACACGAGCCTGGCTCCAGGGGATTATAAACGCTTCTTTGCGG